AAAAAAAGTTATTTTTAAGCTTCCCTTTCCAGCTTCCAGAGCAGACTCAGTCCACTCTCCATGATGCGATATCTCTTCGGGGTGGGCCCTCCGATCTGGCTTGGGAATTTGATTACAAACGGTGGCAATATCACATTAATAGCGTAGCGGACGCTTGCATAGCCCACTGCATTTCAGAACACCATACGTATTCATGATCCAAGATTCACAGGTACATACGTGTGCGTCGAGCGTACCCTGCTGCAAATTACTGGCTGTCTGAGCTACTTTTCGCGCTGTTGTTGTCTAACGCAAGATTATGTTAAAATATTAGTTGTCCTAGGTAGAGTTTCCTGACAATGATCATTTGCACTATGGAAAATGTTTCCTGTCAATATTACTACAAGGACGCAAAGTTCTTTGTTTCTACTAAATTCAAAATCCGAGCTATTTCATGACCGAAAGATACATAAAAGCTTACGAGGCTAATAGGTAGCTTGTTTTTTAATGGTACACTGGGGGCGTCTTTCTTCACGATGTTATTGTCACCCGTGCAATTCCACGTTGGGATGGAGCAAGACAATCTAGTTTACGTAGCCCAATTGTATCATATATGTTCACTTAGAATATGCGTTTGGCCTTGGAGAAGTAAGCGCTTTTGTTTAGTTTACGATAGTGTGATCTTAGGATCGTCGTTTCCCGCACGTATTATCATCCGTGACCATGCCGCTCGTGTTTGCGCCTACTTGTCAACCCAGCGAGTACCTATATGGTACTCAAATGAACTCATTTACCATAAGGATTTCACCTTGTCATTCATTTGGAATACGTCAAGAGCCTGGCTGGATACTTTTTTCCCTCCACCTTTAATGTACACTGTGATATATTGCCGTGAGGGTGGCCAATGTGGATCAATTCCAGTGGCGTAATATCGGTACTATCTAAACTGTTGACGCCAACAGAATTAAGGTAACAAGTTCCTAGTAAAAATTCTTGTAACGCTCTAAGGATATCGTACTGAACGTCTACGACCGATAGAGGTTAAAGTAGTTTCTATATATTAAGTCGCATCACGCAACGCTGTGCGTCCTCGTTGCTCACTGGGTTCAAAGTACTTCTTAGTGCTTAGGTGCTCACTCACCCCTCAAGCTCCCTCATAGAAGGAATCTAACGTAATTCGTACACTTCTAATATTCGCGACTATGCCGCCGTATGGTATCTCACAAAGACATAAACTATTATGTTATTAATAACTATACATACAATGAATGATACGTCTTCTTTACAAGACTGAAGAAATCTATTTAGCTACAAGGATTTTTCAAGGAGTTTGTACGAATATTTACAGGATGCACTGTTAACCAAGCTAACACCCTTGATAGAATATAACATTACAATAATTCCTGTTAAGGCCACACGTACTGATGCACTACTCGATTACGATCCACTTTTTATGAAGTCCACTATGCCAAGCACATTGGTTGAGTGTTAATCGGGCCGGTTAGGCTCAGGAATAGTGGTAGTTAAGCCGGCAAGGTAGATCTTGCCCGAAACGCAGTTTAGCAGTAAATGCCAACTCGGTGTACAATCCAGAGCAATACAAAATGAAATTCGTCGTATCAACGAAAAATTGCCCCCACGTAGATAATTCGTTCGAACAACCGAACCGATGCATCGCTGGCTCGTCGAGATGAGAAATAAAGCCTTTTTTCGTTTCATTAGTTAGTCACTTATTAGTTATCTGCATATCCTACCGATAGAAACTAGGACGAGCAAAATCTCTTTTCTATGAAAATTACTTATGATCAAAAGTCCCGTCTATGTATGGTCGTCTTTCTGCAATCAAGTTCTATACAGGATACGCTAAGAAGACGCTTCCACTAACAACTTCTAGTTCCGGCCTGCCGACTTGCCATGGCAAGTCGACGACCCTAGTTTTATTCGCCACCCTTCACGACCTCGGTTGTATAGTTGGGAAGGATATTCGAATACCAGCGTTTAAGAATCATCTAAAAAACTTAGCCATTTTCAGAAATCCTCGACGGCTTTCAGTTCATTTTTCCTGACGGAACACGTTTCAATTTTCCGACGGAGCTGATATATGAAAATATGCCTCTTTGATGCTGCACCTTCAACGCCGCCATGAAAGGCCGCGGTCATACAATACCCGTAGAAGCGGGTAGTCGACTGCCAAACAACTAGCATTTACCTGGCCTACGTTGCACACTCTTCAGATGCTTCTGCGTTTTTTAAAAATGAAAAAATCACATATTTGCAACTCTTTTATTCGCTGCGAAGACGAAACGCAACAGCAGCTGGCCCGATAGAAGCGCGCTCCCTGATCCAACACTTCAAGCTTTAGCGGCCGATCAAGAGATCGTTTCGTATGTTTGGCGGAGCCTGATGAGGATTATGCGACACACGTAGTCAAGAACTAAGAATATCGGAGGCGAGGGTCGCCATCTGCGCATTTGGACAGAACAAAGCTCGCAACCTCGACTAGAGTCTCAACGGGCATTTAATACATACTTGCTTCCTGGCATTATGTTGGACAGACCGCTTGTCTGAGGAATAGCCGCCAAGTGGCAAAAAGCTTGATTGTTTTCAAATGAGAACTCGACGACATTCAATACGCCAACCTTCACTTAACTAAAAGTAAGCTTGACGCCAAGTTGAGCATCATTTGGCAAGCACACCCCTCGAAGGAAAATTTACTGGCCGTCGTAACAATTGAATGCTCTCTCTTGAAGAACGCTGCTGGTTTTTTCTTGAAAATCGCGTATCCTGATAATATTAGAAAAGGTGAGGTGGTATACTCTGGGTGAGCAATGCGCATCTCTTCGAATGTGTTGTTCCCGCGACTATGAACATGTAACCACGCTGGTTCAAATGTCAGCTTCGGTGAGGCCTTTCGATGGTTTATGGTTACCATGCCGTTCCATACGTCTATTGAAGGAAATCCTGATAAGTTCGCAGATATCAGCTAAAGCTGCTGATAGAGGCAGGCCCTTAATGCTGTACCGGACAGCTGATTCCGGAGACTTGTTCGCTTAGGAAAAGTAACTAGAGCCTTGAAGAGGGAAATATAAATATGAACACACCTCACGGTACGGTAGGCCCCCAAACGTACTATGAAGATCCAGCTTACATTGGACGCACCCCTTTTTTACTTCGGTTTCTGCTAGAAGTCGTCTTTTGTATCTGCCTATTAAAACAGAGGCTTATAAAGTTTACATGCGCAAATACGAACTCAAAATGAACAAAATAGATCCACATTTCCTCGAAGTTGATGCGGTGACCTACCTCGCAGAGAAAGCGTCGATGAGTCAATCGACACACGCTTTATGGATTTTATCGTATTACCTGTCAGACACCCAATTACTACGAGCCAGCGAAAAGTTCCTACTGCAACACAATATGAAAAAATCTGCGTCCGTCGTAACACCGGGCGTTTTCTTGCAGTAATTTCACGTAATACGTTACCGCCTCTATAAATGACTCATACGTTAGAAGTTTAATGTCTTAATTTTGCTTTACGTTACCGTTTTTCTATCCAATGTTTTTTAATCTTAATAGAATGTTGCGTGTTCAATGCTATACCCGTGACTTCATTTGGTTGCCATTATTCAGGTTACATGCTATGTATGTTATTGTTTTATTAAGCTGTTCAAAGCGAGTTCGGCGGACTTTTAAATTTCGATCTTCGTTCGAATTGTGACTGGTAAATTGTGACTCCAGTCTTCTAGAAACTTACGAACGGGAACCAGTTGAGCTTACTTCGTTCGAAAGGAAAAGTACCTTTGTCCTGAAAATTAACGCTCAGAAGTCAAGTCTTTGTTGCTTGAAGGCTCCAACGCTACGAAAATTCAACGGCATTCATAAAGCACGCAGTTCGTGAGTGATGCAAACGTTTCATAAACCAAAGCTAAATCGTTTACGAGTGGCGAGGAGATGACCAGACGACAGGATCCGAACGGCAAAATCGTATCGCCGCAATTAAGTAGGCGTTTCACAAAAGCAGAGCCTAGGGTCTAAGGTTGGCTGGGTCTATTGGCTAAAACTAGCATTTCACATTCAATGTGCTTTAGAATTATAAAGCAAATGCTTACTAAACTAGATTCTTACACAAATAATGCGGAAATGGGAGTAAAAAACGAGTCTCACGTAAATTTGAGTATGCGTAAGGTGTAATATATAAGCAGGTTTTGGAGGTAAATAAACAAAGGCTTGCCTGAAGCTTAGGGTCGTCGTAAACAAGAAGCAATCCAGACTCAGACGCCAGCCGGGGAGGGATTCCGCTAGAGCTTGATATCATGCTGAAAAGAAATCGATTTTAACAAGGCGGGAAATAGATTTGAATGTTCCGGAGTACACTAGCCTCGGGGTTTCAGCGTTTATACCACTTTGCACTACCGAATCGCGGTTTTTGAATGCGTTAATTGTTATGGTGGTGTTTCCCAGTTATCTGAAAATACAATTCTCACTCGAGGCACATACAATATGATCAGTACAACGAATTTAATAAAAACTGAATAATTGGCTCAGTATCGTTATAGCTTAACTTGGAACTTAAGGTACGCTGGTGCTCTGTCTATTCTTGCAATACTATTATTATTATTATTATTATTCCTGTTTATCGAATGCTGTTAGCGTATCGACGGCGGCAATATTCGAACTTTGCGAAGCTGCTCACTTGAAAGGCTTGAGCTTCATGCACTTAATCACCCGCAAATGTTGCACGTACCTCCGTCACTCGTGATGTCCCGTGAAGTGTATACCGGTACCTCAATTTGACAGAATTATCTCAACGGCTTCTCGATTTGATGTATTTATTTGCTTGCGATAAACGGACGATGAAGGTCACTGAGATACTATGGAATTATTTAATTACCTGCAAAAAGTCTTTCTACAAATGAGTAATTAGAAAAAAAAAACGAATTTTAGTAGAAGGTACGTTTGCTGACCACTGGAAGAGCTCTATTGGAGGAAATGAATCCGCTCGTTGTATACAACAGCACGATCATAATTTGAACTCATGTGATTGTACTAGCTTCTTGAGCTAGATTCTCGATTATAAAGTTATCTTTGTGAAATTCTGGATGTATTTACTAGTACTATGATAGATCGCACTGAAGTCCTTCAAGAATAAAAAAAAACCAAGGCTATACTGAACTAGTGCCATTATTTATTAGGTCGTTAATATAAAAGTGACGCGGCGCCACGTCCTTTTGTGGGACTGTTTTGTATTTGTGCACACGCCAATTTCGCGGCTGCTTTTGTCCAACATAGAAAACCCACGCTGAAGTCAGTGAATCCGACCGATGACTTCATGAGTATCAAGGCAGGTCTGTTTCGACCCGGAATTTTAACTGCGCTACGAGAACATTTTCCATGGCGGCGAAAAGATGACATGCGCGGAGCCGAGATGCATCAAACGATCATCTTTCTCAACCAATCAATGGACTGAACATTCAAACACGACGATATAGAATTGAAATTGGGATTGGGACGATATAGAATTTGAAGTGCAGATTAGTTGCGGAACACGTATCGACCGATACTTTGGGTCGAGCTACACTGGATCCTAAAGTAATGATGAAATTTTTGACTAAGTTAAAAAAAATATACGAAATATCCTTAGTCGACTTGCATCCAGATGCTATTATGGCATTTGGAAACCTGCTTTAAGCCAAAGACATCAGGCTGAATAGAAAGCTTCCGTCGGAACGGACAGATGGCACTAGGCGTTGAACTGACTAATCGTGTCTGGCCGAAACTTCGGAGAATAATTGTTATAAGTAGACGTTTGCCTTTGTGTTTCGCTGAACTCTTATCATTCGGAACAGGAAATTCAATGCGTTTAGTAATATCGCTCGAAAAGACGCCTATCTGACATTGTGTGTTCGCTATTTTCTAAAAATATTTAGAAAAACTAATAATTTGACTAAGATAATTTCACGTTCTGGAAAGTTACATTAAGTTAAAGTGGCTAAGAAGCAACCATATCGATCCCGCGGCATATAATAAGCTATCGAGGGGCAAATGCCAAATACCCACAAGTTGCCACAGAGTGAACGTTTTTACTATCACTGTTGTTAGCTAGAATGTTGAGCATATATCGATATACATCAACAAACATGAATAATAATAATAGCTCATTAATACATAACGATAGATATGAGGAACTGGTTCAGCGAATACTTCGATCATCCCAAGTTAGTTTTGTTTCGAATTCCCTTAAGTTCGTTCTTTTCCCTAATTGAAGTTATAATCTGGCCTCTACTAGATTGAAGGTAATTTTACAACAGCTACTTCACTATATTTCGTTTCCTTCTGATCTAACAAAGCGTGAATTATTTCACGTCTATTAGGCCAACGCGATCGAAAAATTAAAATCAAGCTTCCACCTATAGGTTACTTCATTTTCATTTTTCAACAAAAAGCTAACATTGGGCTCATTTTTCCCTGACAGAACCAGGTCCAGTGTTCTACGCGAAAACAGTTCTGGTTAGTTATCGTGTATAGCAGAACGTCTACGTTGGGGACCCCCTCGACTATCCTCCAAATAAGTTCCTAATCATAGCAAGATCTCCGAAGAAGAAGCTGAGAAGTTCATACGTCATCACATTGCTTCCAAGGGCCTAAAATGGTAAGTGAAACAAAAAAAAAAAAAAACATCCTCTAGTAATGGTGGGTTATATGGCCTGTCGAATCGATCTTGCTGATGGGCGTGGTCTTAATACATTTGAACGAAAATACTCACGGCTAAGACATTCATCTAGTTCGTCTTGATTAGGATGCTGTAATCCGTGTATACCGAATTCATTTAATTTGTAAGTTTATTTGTTTTCGCCACGCTGGCCTATTAGCATTACCCAGCATATGTACCTTAGAAGATGGCCGATCGAATTAAACGCCGTAATGTGCGTCGGAGATTACAGTCCAAGTACGGAAACTCAGAGGGAACCCGTACAATATTACCGTACTACTTTTGAAATCTTTATTCAATCATTTGAAAAGGCATCTTTTAAGTTTATCTAATACTGAGCTAATCAGGTCAGCTTTAAACGAGTCTAACGCATACCTGGCTGTATCTTCCGCTCCTGATATCACGTTAGTCGTAAAACGTAGAGAAAATCGGTCGAATGGATAAATCCGCCTCTTGACCTTTGATTCGTACCACTGGTCAATGGTCGCCCCGTTAGGTTCTTGTTACGCAGTCCTAAGAGGACACTGAGGCGACTTCCAGGCTACGTTAAGGACGTCACTGGAAACCCGACAGCGACATTTAGTATGAAATTTCTAGGCGCGGGAACGTATGAGGAGACAGATCGATTAGCAAAGAATGACCCAGTGTTCTCACTGTCAGTAACTGCAACCTAGTTGACTATTCGCGCACGGAAGTTTCCTTACGGTCAGGATTAAAGGCTGCATGGTATGGCCAATGCCGGAGCTCTTGGCGTGATAATATAATATGCTTATAGTTATATCTATATGATTATGGTACGTTCGTTACTTGTTTGTTGTCGTGTTTAAATTTGATTTAATATGCCTTTGAGCTAAATGAAAAATATGTTAATGGTGCCGATCTATCAATTTCCAGCAGAGTTGCATTGGATTTCTTCAAAATGAAATAGCCAATCTTATTTAATCAGCAGTATTTCTTTTGATAAGTCGTATAGAGATATCTGAGAACCACTCCTATCGAGAAGAGCGGCCTTATTTGTCAACTGGTTGAGATTATCTTCTAGGGATCCTCGTTGTACTGAGCTTCTGACGGACCGCACCCGCCCACGTTCATACTACCAACTTCTGTATATTTTTCATTACAGCGTTGGTTACCGTACCGGCTTTGCGCTTACAGACGAACTAATATGGATGCCGCGTTTAAAGGAGCTCATTTTTTCGTAGTTTACTGTACCCTCTATGAAGGGTTCTGCGTAGAGCTCATCAAATCGATGTGATTACTTCTAAATACAAATACAATTTATAGCAACAAATCTCATTCACTTTTGTCAAAAATATGTCAGACGTATAATTTGCGTTAGGTGGGTTAGACCGCGTATCTCCCTAGAAAAGGCTGTGAAATTTCGTGAAAGGCGAAACAATTGAGGACTGTTTGAAACTGACAAATCTCCTTGTAGACATCGGTTATTATCCTATACATGAAAACAGAGCTTCGTTTCTAGCGAGAACCAAACTGTTGATTTTTAGTAGAGTAAAGTGTATATTAATTTTACCAAAAATAGTTTGTTTTTTGTTGCCCCAAAAGGGTCTTAAATAAAAATGTTAACCCACTTCCTAAAATGACATACCTGCACCCAACGGAATCCTTAATGGATGTACCATGCATTGTACGATCAAGTTGACAGGCTTAATGCGTGAGCGTATGTGCAGAATGGATTTTTACAATACGTGTTGATCTCTCCAGTGAACTCCTTTAAAATGTTGAAAAAAATTGCTGAGATTCGTATCAGATATAGGAATAGATCACCACCGCTAAACAATTCGATTTCACGAAGCAATTGTTATTGCGTCCGTTGGTGCGTCAAGGATCAATCGTTGGTTTTTATCAATGATCAGTAGCTTCCAGACCTGTTCCTGGAACAGATTATAGGCTTATGGTGATATCGTTTTACCCAGCGTGATGTTTCATGTGGCAAAATTCGCTGGGGAATGCCTCAAAGGTACAGCATCCACTCAACAATAAAGTGCACAATTTATAGTCATGCCGTTTTGTAGCATATACAACAATTCAGCCTGATTATATTAATTACATAGCCTCTTAATAAGATCAAATGCCGGTTGCGACACCAGTAACAATTTCTCAGCTGAAAACGTTGCCCGCCTCGTGCGGTCGCCAGGTCGGACTTTTCTTGCAGATCAGGCCCGATACCATAAAGAAGTAGTGATCAGAGTCTGAAAACGTCAGTTTTCTAATTTCTAGCAGACGATATCGTGTATCAAGGCTTCATTGTGGTTAAAATCCCTGCTGCTCGAGCGGATTATTTACAGCACATTTCGAACGAACAAGGATGCGATCCTTGCAGAATTCGTCTTTCGTTTCGGACTAGGTACACGATCAAAATATTCACTTGGCACCTGAATAATTCGAGGCGACCTGTTTTTTAGGTACGATTTGAAACTTGTTTTTCCATTATAGGCATGATACTACTAGAACTGAACGTGTGGTGCGGCTTGGTGCTATACGGAACAACGTGTGCATATGGTCCGGAGACAATAATCCGTTCCAATGACTGTGGCACTGAATATGGAGACATTTTATTCGAAAGTCGTCCGTCAATAGTCTGCTAACGTGTTATTATTAAAAAATAATTTAATTCATTTAATCTTGATAATAAAAATATTATATAACATTTTCATTGTTTCAAGGAACTAAAAATATTTTTAAAATGAAATTATTTTTTTTTAGCATTTTCAAGCCTATGTTTTATGTATATACTTAAATTTCTAAAAGAAAATAAATAACAATAATAAAAAAGACATTTTTATTAAATTACTAATAGAGTTGATTTGAAATAGTATGAGTTCTATGTTAGAATGCAATTTTAATAAATACATTTAATGAAATAGTTTTAATTTATAGAAAGAATTAGAAATTAGATTTAGTCTAGTTTAAAATAATGAAAAATATTAAACTGTGGATTTAAAGGCCTAATAATATATTCTCTGCTTCCTTTGGACAAAGTCCTAGCTCAAGTTGTAGTTTCGTGAACTGAACTTGCTCCTGTCCCTGCCGCAAGCGATTTTGCACCTTAAAACAGATTTCAGTGTAAACGTTCCTCATATAATTGAGGACAAGGCGCGCGACCACAGAATTATTGAAAGTTTGATGTAAGCCAAATTCGTATTGGACGTTATTACCGTTACATTTGTGCGTAATACCTGTGATGTATACAGAAGTTGTATGATTTTCGTGCACAGAGTGAACGTACCGTTTGGTCCTAACCACACGCTATCTGCTTTCAAGTTACCGGCTACAACTTTAAACCGGTGTAAAATCAGAGCGATTCCTCGAGTCATTTTTGCCCCAGCGCTTATTAATATACCAACCAGAGGCGAGCTTGTTTATACGTACAACTACCAGGCCTTTTCTACACCGAAATCGACCGGGTATGATTTCGCCAACGTGCGCCATAAATTCAACCAGCTGAATATGTGCTACATTTACACTATTAAGGAAAAATTATCTTTTCAATGTATATTTCGCAGTTGTTGTAACTAGAGGCAGGTTATTTTTTGAATGAAACCAGCTCACCATTAGGTAACAAACGAACCCTTTCGTATTTTCGCCTATGTATATATTTTGTATAATTAACTAAATATTTCATCAAATTAGAAAATTGAGATGCCAAATGCTAGTTATTGTTATATATATATATATATATATATATATATTATATATCTCCATAAGGATATTATATATATATATATAATATCCTTATGGATAATTTTATATATATATATATATATATAATTATCCATAAGGATATTACGGATTCAGTTTTTAAGCGATTTAACGTGATGAATTTGTTTATTTTTGTGTCGTAGTAGATGATCCGATTAATTATCGTCCACAGGCTAAATAAAGTTTTCATTTATTATCATATAATTAATTAGGAAAGTGTGCTCTCTATTTAGGCAGATAATTGTGATGCTATAACCACGGATATGAAACTCTAGGTTATGTTGCTTCCTATTACTTATAGTGTTTCTCTATGGACATTGTGAAAGCCTATTTGTTCCATTGACTCCTCGCGTATAGATAGACAGCTACAGGTAAGATTATATCTATAAGCATATTGAAAAGGCGCTCATTCGAATCAGAAAGGTACACGGATCGAATATTATTTGCAGAGCCGCTACTATAAAGCTCATCCCGCAGTTTGTCAATATCGAACCAGGCCATCTGCGGAAGATGAAGATAAATCGTTAAACGTAATAGTATGAATAGCAACAAAGTACGCCTCAATGTTTCCCGTAGGAGTCGATTCATGTTGATCAATCTTGTTGAGTTGAGAAAACAATATCCATTGTCTTCGAACAGTATCAGCTGTTCCGTTGAGAAGTGGTACTGCTAGGACAAGAACATCATGTTCGAAGTATGACTTGAATGTTCTCAAACGTGGAAAACCCTCGAAGAGTCCGAGCTCTGTCAGGGGGGTCAGTCCGTTAAGACCTTACTATAAGCTCTCATTCAAATGACTAGGGTTTAGTTGGCCTAACAATGTATACAGTACTTTATAAATAATCTCAATAGAGCCGGCTCAGTTTTCGGCTGTCAGGGTGCGAACGGCAGAGATAGCTGCAGTCATGGAAACTTGCAACGATTATCGTTGAATTTATTCTCATTTTCAGATTTTTCGTTGTGTGGAGCCGGCCGTATGTGACCGCTTTAAGCGACTTCTGGAAAACTACTATCTGCAACCTTGTTCTGTAATACGGAAACTCATTCGAAAGTCACTTAAAGGTATACGAGCCTTGCTTGCGATGACATTTTTCATACAGGCTTGCCTTTGCTGAAACTGGAGACCAACGATGGTGAATAGAAAATAATATTTTGCGTATCGTCTGTATGTAGCATCTCGTAATTAGACTAGAGCTGTTGTTGTGGCCATATCGAAATGGGTTTGGGTTGAAATTTACGAACGGGTGCAGGGTCTCGCAGTAGAAAACGTAGTGGAAGGGTAGTGAAAGCACCCCCTCAGTTTGCGCTCAGGATTGATGCCCCGCTGCCCGACCAAGCTCGTCGAGTCATGCGAACCTTGGTTTTGTATTAAGTCCTATTGCCTTCGTTTTATATATATAAATTAAACAGAACGTAAAAAAGTAGTTTACGTAATTTGTTAGTATAGTATGTAGTAATCGTTCGTTAGTATTTTGAAAAGAACAATGCTCGAAGCGGAACATGGGTAGAAGCGCATACAAATTAATAAGCCTGCGTACGTAAACCCATGTAGTGTTTTAGCTTTCCTCTACTTTAAGACTTATTGACTAATATACAAGCTGGAATATGGCCGGAACAAAGGAAAACGGATGGAGCTGAGAAGGTCAAAGGAGTTCCTTCTGTTCTGAAATTCTTTCCATCTGTCGAAGGCTTGCTTATAATCAGTGGTGAGGACACACCTAATCTCAGAAAACATCTTAGAAAAAAGCATCATTCAAGACTGCTGCTCACAAATAAGGCTTTTGTGTCTTCCATATAATTCGAATGTACCGTGAACAAATTGCAAATCGAAGCCATTTTTCCAGATGTATCAATATTACTTTCTTATCGCATGCTGTAGAAATAGTTTAGGACATATTGATTAATTAATACTGAATAAATAAACTGCTACTGAGAAAATGTCAACAGACAGCTTCTTAATGCCAAATTTAATACTTAATAGACTATGAAATATGCCCCTAATCGTACGTACCACAGATCTTTCTAGTTTTACCTATCGACGATATAAACGTGAAGGCCGAGAAGTTTGCAATCCATATTACCTGACAAATCAGAATCAAATACTGGCCAGTGTATGGAGGAAAACAGCTCCCCTGGCGGAGACATTGTGACGCCGAGTTTTATCGAGAATAGGAGTACCTTACGTTACCTTCAGAAAAAAAAGACAATAACTAGGTAGCCCAGCCACTACCAAATTTATCATAATAGATATTAGGTTATGCATTTTAATGATGTACATTTGATTTACCGATTTCATGTACAAATTACCTGCAATGCCCGCAACACCGATGTTCACAGCGTGCGTTTCGTGGGTTAAACATTCCCCATCGATAATCTCGTTCCTGGGATAGACTACACGGTTCGTATGACAGCAGCAATATCTGAGAGATACGCGTCAGAGTGCTCCTTCGGTTGCTTCAACACGCCCACGTATCCCATATACCGCGTATACCGAAAAACGTCAGTTTTCGCTAATGCAGTATTACTCTATGCTACACAGATTGAAAGTTGTGTCTAAGAAGGCCCAACAATATAGTTTTAACTAACGGCCCTACTCACAGGTTCTTTGAAATTATGCTTCTTTGGGAACTGGGTTGGAAAGATTTCTACAAATGGGGAAATCAGAAATAGAGGTTAAATAAATGGGCGAGCCTCAAGCCAAACGGTTTGCACAAAAGCAAACTTTTGTTCGATTTCTAGTCACTGACTAAGATTGGCAATACAAAGAAACCTCCACACTGAATTTCGAATTATTATGACAGAACTAAGCAAGGAACCATTACGGATTGTGGTTGAGCACCGTGCCAAAACGGTAGACATTATTGTATATGCTAGCGTATTGTGTCACGATACGGGCTCTCACTTCGAAGGCTACCTAATAACTGGAAAGCCGAATATGTTTAGAAGTACGCTTCAGGCGAAAAATCAGCAGCAGTATCCGACCTCAGTTTTTAGACAACCTATACCATTAAAGCTCTTACATGGTACGGACGCGAGAAGATACAAAAATTCGATCGACAAGGTATCTTCACTGGAAAGCCGGGTAAATAAATTTAGTGCATCCTCTTATTGCTGGGCCAATTCATGCTCAGCTACTGGTTTGCGATTTGTTAAGCTAGGAGCATTACCCTAAAGAAGTGATTGGTTTTACTTAAGCAAAAACCGGCCATATTTAGCAGCTAGATAAATCATCACCATCTAAGGAAGCAAACTTGGGCAAACAGGCGGGAAATATATTTCCAACTTGGATTCAAATGTGTTGTTAAGTTGCAAAGGTATGAAATTTGCCCTCTGCGAAATATTGTTCATACCAATTCTTCAGCTATACAACGATCTAGGTGTACTTTGCTGTTGCAGAGATTTTCAATGAAGGGCGGGCAAATGAGTTAGCAAAGTTCCACGTGTTGCCATTACCAAGCGAGTAAGACAATACAAACGGGTGCGTTCGCTTAGGTTCATAGTAGTAAATCTAAGACAACGCAGAACGCCAAGTATTAAATTATTTAGAGAATTTTCAGCATCCTTAGCTCGCTTGCTATACTTCAGGGGCAGTAGTTCTCGTAGATCGCCACGGTTCCCCGTAAAAGCTAGGTAAATCAAAGTACAAACATTATTCATTGAACGTTCCAGCATGTTTAGGCGACAGTGAACAGCATTGCGTGATAATCGATGATAACAATGATCTTCGTCAATAAGGAGCACCATAGCAGATATATTTGCACCGCCGAGATACAAAATCTTCTGCCGAAAGTAAATAGTAAAAATACGCACGCATACGGAAGCTAGGTTGGTTTGCTTTGGCTTATTAAGGGCATCGTAAGAACCTGGACTAAAGCGCCCGTTATACCAGTTACGCTGTTTTCGAAGTGAACCGTTACGCTAATAAACTTTAAGACTTTACAGGTAAAATTTATTTAGGGCTCCTCGTTTTGATTTAATAATTCTGCATAATGTATTGTGGCATACTTATTAAATCCCCTATGTCACATTCCTTGTACAGAGTTGAGTTCACTATAGAGGCTCAATTCTGAGCTTCTATTACAGCGACTGCAAGCAATCTACGTCCATATGGTCTTATGAACGTTTCAATAGAGCTATATTATTGTTTTAGTACAAAGAGCGCTTAGCCCTACGCCAGATTGGCTGACGAATAGTCTGAATCGCTGCATCCGAGGAGCTCGAAGCATGGCCCTCTGAAACTGATCAAGAAAAAAGAAAAAGAAAATGCTTATTTATGCAATGTTTTCAACTGAGAGCAAATCTGTAATATACCGCGTAACCATGTGCATGTATAATGATACGAACACTTGTCCTTCCGACTATATACCCCACACCTGTCCTGTCACGGTACGTTTTCGCCTTTCAAGCGGTTGATTTCTTTCTTTCTTTCTTATGAGATTATTACGTTTTTACTTCTTTTTTTTTTCACACTTCGACGGTATCAACAAAAACTCATCCTAAGCCTACTTGTTCAGCGGGAGCTCATCGTACTTTTCCACGCTGCGCAAATATATTCATAGAAGATTTGTCCTCATCCAGTAAACATGCAAGTACCTTGATATAAATGCGTACGCACAACCAAAACAGTAATCAGACTTGCGAATTTATCGGAATCACCCACGCTTGAATCTATATTGCGTGCTTGCAGGTTCCAGTACATCTATGTCCTCTTTTCCTCATTACTACCTTATTGTTTTCTTTTCCAGAGGCACCAGTGTGCCGTTTCGTATTCTAGAATTTTTTCCACGCACCCATTTTGCCTGTTGTTGTTGTTGTTCGCATATATGTATATTTACTGACGTAGCGCTGTTACGTAAGATGCGAAGACACCTCAGAATGTTAACTGTATTGTTATCCATTTTTAAGATTTGAGGGGAATATAAATTTCATTATGTTTCGGGGTCGACCGAATCGAGCAGGCCTGTCAGCTTGACCCTAGCAGAGAGAGTTTTGCACTTAAATATCAAAGCACCGTTAATACACCTCCGATGTTGGTCCTGGAAGGGACGGTCACTTGAGTCAGCGTTGAAGACGCCACTTTTACATATATTTCTAAAGACAATCGCATTGGTAGGGTGGTTATGGACTTTAACTGCACAAAATACAGTAGTGCTCCACAAGATTACCCTTTGATTTCGGGCTTCAGGCCCAGCAGCATTAAGGTCGTGGCCTTTGTTTCTTCAGATCTAAATTCCATTGCTATCCAGTTTGAGGAATCGATTCCAGTGTCACCGTGGGTAACTGATTATAACACTGTCTTTCTTGGCGTCTGATACTTTTTGTTCGTCAGCAATCCGATCTCGGCACCTGACACTTCATTCAACTTTAGGTCGCTAATCGGAATACCAGGCGGCAAAATGCAGTAGAAGATAACCGACGTGGGAATATTTGTATTTGAATAATATAATATAATATATAGATCATCTAGGAATTTTCTTACCGCTGTGACACCGTCTGAGCCAATTTAAGCTTTGGTGAACCCTTATTCATTTCTTCGCGCGATGCAAGGCTTCATGGCAGTAAACGTGTACAATCTATATTGAAGAACATCACCTCGGTGATCATGAAGTTGCACGTACATGGTTTCTAGAGATTCTTTAAAAGCGGCTTGCACGGAAAAATGTTATCAAACAGCAAAATAAGTTACAAAATTAATTAAGTGTTATAAATAAACTGGGTTAAAATCACTGAAGACTCTACTCTTAACAGCCATTGTTCTATGTGATATATACAAAACGCAAGTTGACAATACACATACAAATACGGATAAGGGTGCCAAATAATGAAGGAAGATTAATGTTGATTGGTTTCACTAAGCCACAATAATGTTCTACTCTACTCGGTTAGAAAGAGATTTGACCTCCAAGGCAATAGCTGGACGGCTGTCCAGATACCTGTTACCGGTGTGGACATTATGAACAAAAATTCCCTTACTCACCTAAAGGCTGATTCCTAGGATAAAGTTCCACCTAGTGAATCAGCTATTACGTGACTCTAGCTATACGTAAACGTGAAACATTTATACTTAAGTTACTTTGGTCTCACCTGCTTCCAGAGTCCTGAGCTTGCCACCGGGCTCCAGATGGCTACAAAGCTAAACTATTTTAATAAGATGGACCACGGACTCCGCGCGTTAGAGTGTACTTCAAAAGCTTATCTCTGAAAAATTCCTGATCTTTTGAGATAGCAGTGACATCGAACGGCACGCGCCTGTATCAGCCATAGATGCCCGCATCGGCTGTGTTGTTAAAGACAATTGTATAGTTCAGATCGTTATGGATTTTTGGCGCCTTAGAGTCGAAATGAACTCTGGTATGCTCCGCAATCTTAGGCATAAATTTGGCCATAATTAAGTTACGTATAGCCATTCGCGTCCTAACTTCAAAAAGTTTTTTCAGACAAGTCAGCTTAACTTATTGGTGCGCCAGCGCACCGCCAGTTCGCTGTCTGACGGTACGTGCCACATAAGTAAACGTGCTAAACAGGCTTTTCTACAGGAGTCCATGGTCGTTTTATTATTAAAACCCTTTAAGACAAATTCAGCTATACAGAATATGATTCTTCTGACCGCATAAATGGCGATCTGAAATACCGATCAAATTAGTTCGAAAGTTTAGACCGCATTTTTGCGTTTTATTCTACATATATTATTATATTGCAACCTAATCAATACATGTAAATGGACATACTTTACCATAGAAGGAGCTGCCGAAACTTGTTGAGACAAAAGAGATACGGAAGCGTATAACAGAGGAGCTTATATTACGAATTTGCGGTTTACTTAGGGTTAGAAATTTAAATAAAGTAAAATTTTATTGTAACTAACCACTACAGAAGAACTTGATGCTGAATCCCATAGAATCAAATACCGAAAGCTCACGCCGGTAGGTCGACATAAATGTTAACCACGTTGACATGACGTTTTGGCAACCGGGAAACTCCCTCCAGGTAGTTGGTTGTTAAATCAACGTTTCTTTACGTAAATATGCCGTTTGTTAGAGTAAGATTTGATCCCTTCTACGATACAATCACTGTTGCTTCATTAATTTTCGAGTGAATCCCGAATGTCATGGTCGGTAGAACTACCGCATTGCGATTATAATACGTACGAGATTACCTTCTCTATTTATGTTAGCTCAACGCCTTTCTAAACCGTTGACACTCCCGACTAATGCTACTGCTGCTAAAACTCTGCCGTTTTTCATGCCTAGATATTCTATGGAAAAAGAAGTAACCGCAGTCACTCTTCACCGAGTAAGTAACCCTCTTCTATTTCTGTAAACCTTTGTACAGATGTCTCCAATATCGGCTTATCATAGTCCGTCGGTTTGCAGCTGGCGGCATATTACGATCTGTAACAGAACATAGTCTCGTTCTCTGTCTACAGTGAATAATTAATTTGCCTAAGCAACAACATTTAATGCAATACAACGATTACCAGAGTAAACGTTTTCCGCTAAAGAAAAATCAAACTTTAACTTCTCGTTTTTGTGTTTGACTCGACTGTTTCCAGAACTCACTCTGGGCTCTCATAGTTTAGGGGAAAATCCAACAGCTGGAAAAGGTGGAAGACTGCGTAGCGTTGAAGTAACCGCCTCCCACATCAACAAATCAGGTTC